CGGATTTTTCCTCAGCAGAACAGTCCGTCGCCTCACGCTTCGTGGGCAAATACGCAGCAGGAGACACGTTACTTTCCCGCAAACGTTTCGGATCTGCAGAGTAGTCCAGCTCAGCAGCGTCGGGACTGGGATCCGGTAAGGAATGGCAAACCGGATCAGCACAAGCGTCGTATTTGCGCTTGCCAACGTAGCTGGCACTGGCTGCAGAATGCACCGGGCTGTCGGACCCGCACCCATCAGCAGTGAACCCATCTTGACGCTTCAAACCTGAAGTAATGGAATGCCGTGAATTTTTTTACAGTGCAGTATTTCATCGAACGGTGAAACATATTTTTTGTTAAACCCAAATTGGATTTATTATGCTCATGTATGAAAAAATTCCGGACACGATAAAATACTGTATTCATTTTCTTCACGGAGCATTGTATTATACAGTATTGTACTTCGTGAAGTACAATACAGATCTCGGTTCTCGGTTAGATGTCGCTCACGAATTTAGACGAAGGGCGTCTCGTTACCTCAACAGAAGAGGGCTCCCAAAACTAAAAGGAAACACGCAACAACAAAAAACTCACCTTTAATTTCCAACGCTTCAGCCAAATTAATGAAATCCGTGAACCGACTCCCAGGAACCTCTACTTCACCGTTGTAAATATACCGCACGACGTACTCCAGCAAGTCGACGGCGGTGTCGCGGAAAAACAACACCGGCATTTGACCGTCCCTCACCGATCGCAGGACGTCGAAAAAGTAGTTGCTGCACGCGGACAAGACGACCTTGTGCGCGTAAATCGACCGTTTTTCGCAGGACAACAACACGTCGACAAAGGCCTCCGAGCGACGAAGCGATTCAAACGCGAGAAACGTTTCCGCGTGATGGTAATGCCAACGCAGGTTATACTGATCCGCCGGCTCCATGCCTTACTTCCAACTTTCTCTTTCTTTGGATATTTTACACTTTTCGTCACATATTTTCCTTGCGTCAAAAATAACCGTACTTTTGTATGAGCATCCCAAAACAAAAAAGACGGCTATGGCAAACCACCGAGCTCAAGAAAATACATAGCGATTCCCATCAAGTTGTAATTTACACGCAACTAGGAAAAAAAAAGATAACACTTCTGAAAGCCACGAACATTTATGCTACAAAATCTGCGTAGACGGGAAGTAACGAGAGGTAAAGACTGTGAAAATAAAGTACAGTACTTCTGATAGCTTTGAAACAATTGTTTGCTCTTGGAAAAGGAAATTATACATTTTTGTCTTTCTTCGGACAAAGTCGATCATTATTACGGTAATTCTTCACCAATCCAAAGGAAAATACAGACAAAATCGTTTTTCCAAGGATATTTCGCATATGCGAAAGTAAAGAGTACTTCCGACTTTTCTTGCGTCTAAATGAGAAAATTAGTGACTAATATTCGCGTACATACTGTAAAAAGAAAATGAAGAACTTCGTGCGATACTCATCACGTTTATCAAATTGTAACGACTAACAAGCTTTCAAATTAATTTTCCGCGATTAAAAATCAAATACAGTACTGCATTCTAAATCAAACCCCTTTAAAAAAAATAGACAAAATCGCCGTCCGATGAATTTCAAACACTCGTCTCCGTTCGTCTGCAAGCAAAAGGGAACACGATAATAAAACGAGATCGACATCGAGTAGAACTAATTTTCAAAGAAAAAATAAGACGAAAAATACAGGTACCAATAGTCCATTAGAGAGAACCATGCAGACACTCAAAATAAACCTCCGCGGAACAACCAGAACCATCCTACCCTATCTCGCTCTAAGCATCACATTTTCACAGCAGCAAAACTGAAAGAACGTAACTCGTCCTCTTTTTTTCCTAGCCAGCAGCGCACCTTTTTCCATAGCAGGGACACACGCAATGTGCTCAACATTCCACCGATTCCGTGCGAATCGTACAACGCATGAAAAAAAAGACCCAAGAAGTCCAGAAAGGTCCTAAGCAGAGAGCTATTTGGGAACCATTTGACTATTTTGTCCACCACAACGATGCATTATTTTAGATTGCGTAAATCTCACTGGTAGCAAGACTTGATGCAAACACAGATAAACAGATCACTGCGACATCCCAGATGATATGCCTCAAGGCTTCAGGGGAAACATTTCCAGTATTTACTGGAAAAAATTCGAATATTGTACATGAACTCACTGTCCTTAATTTTTTTCAACCGTTCCCACTGCTTAGCAACTTTTTGGACATCCTGTATCATAAAACAATAGCTAGAATATTTCTGAAGAAAGACATTTGCAATCAAAAGAAGCAAATGAAGGTCATCGATTCAAGTACGTGGACCTTAAAACGTCTTTTTTTTTAAATGAAACCATCAGCTGCATTTGAAAAGTAAAAAGAATGTGTCCCATAAAATAAACTATGCCGATACGATGTCATAAGAGATCACCCACGCATTACACATAGGCATAAATACAGTATCTGCGTCTCAAACGAGTGAGATTCACGCATTTCAAATCGGATTTCAAAGATTGTTTGGAATTGTTCACGAGAGAGCGATTGTTCAAATTCTAAAAAGTTTGTTGACTTGAGGTACGATTCGTCACATCATCATACTTCAAAATAATAACACTGAATACTACTAAATTTCCCTACACCTGAAAACGACAAAAAACCACAAAAGAAAAACTTCTTCAAGCACGCATACACATCGAGCATATAAAAATCCGCATCTCCGCTGAATTGTTGAAGAGAGAAAAATGAGCAGGATGAAATTTAGTGCCTATTTCCGTTCCTCTCGATGGCAAAAATTTTGGCAATGCCCAACATTCTCAATAAGCTAGGGATGTATCAGAATTTGCATGAAGCACTAATGGCACTTGTTGAAGATTGTTGAAATTCTCTCTTTTCTTCTTCAATTTTCAAACCACTCGCGCATTTTCCACCAGATCTTCAATTCACACAGTGATTTTTTTCGAATACATATTCTCGCTGGTGAAGAGATTTGAATCATTCGATCACAATTTTCCATTAAATGACATCAACACTCAAATATATGGGTACTTAGGACTTGCTCAACACAAATATTCTCAGGAGTAACTCAGTTCAAACTGCGTCTTCTCTTTCAAGATTCGTTATTCAAATCGAAATTTTTAGAAGACACTACGTCAAAAAGAGACTCCTAATCAAATCAAATGAAATGAAATTCGTTCCACGGAAGAGGAATTTGCGTTGGGAAGGTGTGGTTCGGATTGAAATGGGAAAAATTCACAGAACTAAGTCCTCCATCAGTCCGTGAGAATCTGGCCCAGATCGTTCTCCGGGCCCGCCATAATTTCGCCGCCATCAAAGGGTGTGGTAATTTCCGCTCACACGAACCTGATAGAACTTGAATCCCATAAAGCCAACCGATGTCAGACCAAGTGCCAGAATCATTCCACCTAATCAGAAAGGGGAAATCAATGAAAAAAGCTGACTAGGTTCATAATTAATAGGGGAATTATTATACAGTAATTAAGAAGAGACCTTCAAAAAAGCTCAGTTTCATTGAGAGAAAGTAAAATTTAGCAGTTTTGTCGAAGTGGTGGAGGAAAAATAAATCAAATCCACGATTCAAATAAAATATAAAAGAGATATATTTCAATATATGTACGCGTTCAAATAAACACTCGAACAACAAGTAAGATAATATTTGAAGGATACTTTCAAAATTAGAGCGGAAGTTTCCCTGAGAATACACTCTGCAGTAGTCTAGAAGATTCCAATTCTTCACTAAATCCTTAGTGCAGTAAAGAAAATGAAAATTACCTTTGCAGTTTTATGGGTACGTTTTGTGTCTAAATCACTCTGAAATTTCCTACTAGGATTTTTGTCATGAAACATTTTAAATGCTTTGCGTTCTTTCGAATTTATATTTTGAGAGAAAATTCAAGGATATTGGATAACAGCAGCCACATTAAAAAAAAATTGTACAGGCCGCTCAAATGTCACCGAATATTTAAACCAAACGATAAAAATTTCTCAGTGACGATGCCTCGGTTCTGAAAACTATTCTCCGAATTAAAAAGCTACCATTTTGGAAAATATTTTCAGTAGCGATACTGAATGTCAAGCATATATAAAATGCCAACTGGTGAACCAAGAAGTTTCCGAAGTCAGCTTAAACTGCAGAAAATAAATCCTTAGCAAATGAACAAAGGCTTATTTTTCATCTTTGTCTGAAGTGTATCTTAGTCTTGTTAATGATCTCACAGTAATTTGAGAATGACTCAGGAACTTCAGAACTTCCTTTCACGGCACTCTGAGAGCATTTGAATAATCCATCGTACATCAAAAACGTCCGTAATTTTCACTCACCAACAAAGGAAGGTGCATCAAAATGCCTCGGGTTCTCGCTCGGGTCAGGATTCGGTGCAGCAGTCGACGAGCTTGGAACTGAATTAAGCAAAGAATAGTAAATTAATTTGAAAAACTTTCTAGATTTATATTATTTCTTAATAAACGCGCAAAAAATCCGAGATTTATTTTTCCGCGAAGTGATTTAACGTTGCGCAGTGGTCTGAGCCTTCTTGTTTCATACGGAAATTACTGAAAATTAAAAATGAGTGCCCTTAATTTTCTTGACAAGCCTCCGATAAATTGGTCAAAATATCGTCAATTAAAATGAGCAGTGGTTGAATAAATCTTCATTCACAAAATTATTCATTTACGCACAAGAATTAGTGCAGAAAAACTTACGTAAATAATACAAAACTTAATGATTAGAAAAGTAATAAAGCTGAATGTATTCAAATATCCCAAAGTTTACCTCCGCGAAGGTGCAGGATATTACAGAAACATCTCATTACTGTATATTTATCACGCTTTTTCATCGAAAACATCCTTTTTGCAATTATGAACAATGCCGAGTATGGCTCGACTCAAATTTTCCTTTCTGTTCAATGTTCACGACAGCAACTTTCCATTTTCAATAATTGAATGAATGACGCTCACCCGGAGTAGGGGGAGCCGAAGACGAAGTCGTTGGCTTTTCAGTTGTAGTACTGCTCGATGTTGTCGGTGGTGAAGTCGTAATCGTGGTCGTGGTCGAAGCTACGAGTAAAACAAACACCAAGACAAATAATTGTTATACTGAACATCAAATTGTATCTCTCGACACTTCCTCCTTCACATACTGTAATCCTTCGCCAATTACCACATCAACCGATTCAATCGGGCCAGGTTTAGGTCTGTTTGTCCATTTTAGTCATTTGTGCGAAACCTGTCCAACAACCCAGGATATAAAGATCGGAAATAGAGAAGGAAAACCCCAATTCAACTAAAATCGGACTCAAATTACAGCCGAACGGGATTCGCAAAATCTGATGCAAATGCCGTCATTTCAGGAAAAAAATTTCCTTTTTAAAAGCTGAATGATGACACTTACGCGTTGTGGTGATGTTGGCAGTTGTCGGCGGAACCGGACTCGTACCATTTGTCGTTGGCGCAAGAGTAGTAGTGATATCCGGATCCGGTGACACTGTCATGACGGAAAAACCTGCGCATAACGGGAAAGCAGAATTAATTAATCAGCTCCAAGTGCCTTTTCAACAGAAGGTTGATCAGGGATTCAATGGTTTAGTCTTTGAGACCCAGTGAAGCTTCTAATGTGCGACACAATTCGAAGATAAACACCATACTTTTTTTTTTATTACAAAATAATGGAGCATCACTCGAAAGGGGACGCAATTAACTTTTATTTTCCTCTGCAACACAGATACTTCAACTGCTCACAAAATAAAAAAGATCAAGAATCCGTTTAGTTTCACTCTCTTCAAAAACTGCAGCTTTCGAAAATCTCGAACCATAAACTTGAAGAAAGTCCAGATAAACTTCGACTTTTTCGATTGAATTCAATTGCCCTGTTGGTTTCAATTGTAGTTACGTTGATATGATACGCCGCTGGACTCGATTTTTCAAATCAAATAGATACAGCAATACGAAACAAAAATGTAACAGGAGAAACTTACACAAAGTGCCGATGGATGTCGATGAAGAGTTGCTCCATTTTAACCATTGGCAAAATTGATCATCATTGCCGGGTGTTTTGGCGCATTCATCACTTTGGTTACCAGTTTGACACGTCAAGTAGCTGCAGCCATTCGTCAGACATGCTTCGCAGGTCAAGTTTCCGCAGGAGAGATCAACAGGCTCTGGAAAATAGGTAAATTCACGAATAATCAGGAAACGATGGAATAAAAAAAATAGAATGATGAAATAATTTAGGGTTTGGGATTTTTTTAACAAGTTGGAAAAATATTCATCGATGACCTGACATGATAAATTGACAGTTACGGAAATATCCAATGGCATTCGCCCAGAAAAATACTATAAGCTTTACTCTATCAAAAGAAATCAGTCTGCTCAAATGAAAAAATATTCAGGCTGTTTTTTCATCTCCAAATCATTAGAAACTTGCACAACATTTATCGAAGCCAATATAAAATGAGTTGTACTTTAGATATTGAAGACAAATAAAATCGAAAAATAAATCAAAAGATAAAAACCTGCGTCGGCCGGTTTTCCGCTGGCAAGACTGGAAAGAAAAGTCGCGGACGTATACGCGACAACGCACCACAAAAGCACAACTTTCGTCATTTCTTTTTTCAAATCTTGGGTCAATTATAAAACCGTACTTCTGCAATGAGTCTTAAAAGCGAAACAAATATATTAAACATTGACCGAAAATGCTTCTTTTAATCATGCATTTATCGTTAAAAAAAGAATTGAAACAAAATCTTGTGAAGCTTTCCGTAACCGATCATTCTTCCATCAGAAACCACGTCCTTTTTCCACGAGGCTTTAAAAATATTATAGCACAAAGTTGTGCGAATGAACCGATGGAAATACTCTCATCAGTAAATCACACAAGCATTCAGGACTCGGAAAGTGTCGTCAGGTATCACTTTTTTTCACCACCAGGAAACACCGAATCTACGAAACCCGTCTCCCCGATCCCATACAACATTGAGTACAATTAAATCTTTTCCCCATCAGAAACAGGTAACTGAAGTGCGATCACCGTGCAAAGAACATCAATAAAATCACCAACAAAAACAAAAATCACTTGTTCTTCACCGCCGGAATGTTTGTTCGAGAGTATTATAACGTTTATTATGGCCGCTAAAAAAAAGAAAGCCATCCTGGCGGCAAGGATAAACCTTGTTTGAACTCATTCTTTAACCTCTTAATAACTCTTGCTTAATCGGGGAAAAAAGAAGATTCCCGAAGCCTCGTGGTTGTTGTTTTCTCTTCTTTTTCTTTTTTTTCCACGAACACGAGTTGAGCATGAGTATTGTGAGGAAAGCTTGTCACTATTTCTACCCAAGAAACACCAGAAGGATTCACGACGCGAGTTTCTCCAAGAAGTCAAATTCCAGAACACGTTCAATAGCTTCGATTTCTCCTTGAGCCACTGCAGAGTTGGATTCAGGCTTCGGGGTTTTCGGAGTCACTGGTGGCCGTCGGTTTATGACACGTCCACTTTGTAAACCTCTCGCGAAGAAGAACGGCGCAAGTTCTTCTACGGATTTTACTTCCTTCATTGTCAAGATCAATCCACTTCGTTCTTCTCCGAGAAAACTCGAAATATTCGGGTTTCCCATTCCGAACTGGAATTCAGAAAAATAAAAATTGTCAGACAATATCCGATAATAATAATTACTGCATATTTTCAAACATAAGACAATACTTGAATTGTTGTTTCAAATAAGGCGCCAGGACTTTACATCAGGGTACGTTTGATACTTCGTAATAAAAATAGACCAAAAATATTGTTTTTGGACTTCTAAGACTGCAAATAACATCAAGTAAGAAATCTGCAAACCTAAATTTTCAATTCGATTGGACATGTTACACTGACAATTGAACCAATAATTTTTTTTTCATTTTTCCACAAACTCTTCTTTCCACCGTTTTTTAATTGAATCTGTGAGCTTTCGATTTATTCCAATCCGAAATTATTTAGAATTTTACATAATTCGAAGAATGTATACCGTATTTCATAAAATGAGTAAATTTCAAATTTCATTCAACCGATCTTGAACAAAAAGAATCTTCTTCAATTTACGTAATCAAACCTACTAAAAATCATGAAATAAGCGAGCAAAGCTGAGATGTCCCAGTGTAGATGGGACGAAATCACGATCAAATTTTTAAAAAGTTCGCATTTTGGAAATGAAACTCCAATTTTTTCACTAGTTCATACTCGAGGAGCAAATGCAGTATTTTTCCATCCAACAGACCTTTGATTTCATTAATCGGGCAATTCGAGTGACGTGAGGCATGAAGTGCGAGCCGGAAGAATTCAAGTTCTCATTTTGCCAGCGTTCCGCTTCGATTCCCAGAACCGTATCCTCGCATTCATTCAATTTCCCATTAACTTCCTCGCGACTATTTTCTTCTGCTCGTGTTCTCGGCGCGCCGTTAATTAGCATCGCAGTAATTTTCCCCTGCTGATCCGTAGTTTCCTGCTGATCCAAGGAACCAACGAAGGCCCACGAGTACCTTTTACAGTGAAAAAGAAACCAGAGAATATAAGGTGTACAAAAAATGATGATGAACAGGGAAAATTTTCGAGTTTTGTTCGGGCTCCGAACCGTGAATGAAAAGTTAACAGAATTTCATCAAACTCAGGAGGAAACAGAAAATTAAAAAGGCAGGAATACTGCTGGTCATAGTTATTTTCTACAAATTTCACCCAAAAACCTATCAACCAACCCTTCCATTTTACATTAGCAATGCTCATGCGCATCTTGAAAGAAAATTCAAACGCAGGCGGAACTTGAGACTAGGCTCAAAAAGTCTTCCAATAACACGCGAAAACAATTCATCATCGCAATGAAAGATGCGTAAAAATGCTTTGAACGCATGATTTCGAAGGGAAACTCACATCTGGAACTGAGGAAGACGGTTCGTAGGCAACGCCAAAGCCGTATCCAAAAGTTTGCAGGCACACAAATACAAATTCAACCAAGCTGGATGGTTGTGTGCTAGCAATCCATTGGCGGTTACAAAAGTTGTATCCAAAACCGAGAGTCTCTTCAAGTGCGAACTGCAATAAATAAAAAACAGAAAGTAAACCTATCAACACCGTTCCAGTCTCTAGAAATCTACAATGAATGCACATGAAGAAAATAATGAAAATTTGTGAGTAACGGTGAATGAAAAGAAAAGTGTTGCGAACAAAGCAAATATGAATAAAGCTAAATTTAAAAAAAGAATAAATAAAAGCACTTTTTCTTCGGTAAACCAAAGATTCTGAATTATTCAGCAAAGCATTACCTCTTCGCCCCCGTGAGTTTCCTGTTGGAACAGATCCCGTGACAGTAACACACCGGAGAGCCCAACATCCGCACCGTCAAACCGTGAGAATACAAAAAAAGCACACAGAACAACCCCAAACGTCAGAAAACCACACCAAGCTGTCAAAACGACATTTTTTCACGAAATAAAAATCTAAATTCCCTCAGCAACGTTACGTCTCAAGGTTAGTGATGAGCAAAACAGAAATTTTAAAAAACCATTTTCAATAAAATAAAACTTGCTTGAATTCTTCCGAATCGCTGGACAAGTCCTGCTCAATCTGCAACAAGACTTGCACAAGTTCTGTGATGATTGATGGCCAAAGAGCAGACAAATGAGGGGCTGAGGATCGCAGCAATAGGACTCTGAAGCACAGAAAAACTCCAGCTTGCACAGCGGGGCCAGTTTGCGCAGATCCTGAACTTGTAACCGTACTCCACCGCAAACATTCACCCAATTTTTCTGTTCGAAAATAATACAATTTTACACTCGTACTGAATCAGAAAAAAACACACGAAAACTGGCATTAACAGGGTGGACCAAAAAAATATAAACCCGTTTCTCCAACGAACATTGATTTACTTTTTTATTTTTCAATGCGGTATTTCAATCCTTCAGAGAACAACAAATTAAAATTATTCTACTTTTCTGGGCAAACCCTGCATAAAATATTTCAGTACTAACCTTGAAGAACTGGTACGAACTGCTGGTACTGATCAGAGTCTGAGCAGAACAGCAGAAATGCTATTCGCTTCAGCAACAAGGATCTCAATTCAGCTTCCGCTTCCCTTGAGGAAAACAGGTTCAACGACCCAGAAGGCCCAACCGGAAAACGATCTAAAAATATTTTTTCAATAAAAACATAGCCGAACAAAACAAGATGTTGTACTGTATATCCGGCAGCGAAAATCAAGAGATGAATAACAAAACTTCATAAACAACAATTTACAGTATTCATTAGCGTAGTCTTGAAAACAGAAGTACTGACGCAGTTTTTTTTTCATTTAAAACGGACTTCCGCTTCCTTGCAGGTAATTTATACTGTACAAGGTGAATTTAGAAACCCGATTTAAAATTACAAAATGAAAGAGTCAGAGATGCTGAAATCCTTCCATTTTTCGTGTCATCCAATTTAGCAGTAGGCCAGATTTCTCTCATATGAGTTCCATACCGAGTTCAATACTAGCTGAGGCTTACCATTTAAGTAATTTTTATACCAAGAGGTGTCTGAAAATCGTTTCAGGACTCATGTTCCTAGGATAAAACAAAATTGCTACTATGAACTCCAATATTGACAAAAAGAAAACAACACGAAAAACTGCACTCGGAACAGTAGTTTGGAAAGGCACTCACTGAGTAAATCCTTGAAAAGCAGCTTTTCTTGCGCTACGAGGTTATCCAACAAACTCTTCCAATGGCGCAAACTTTCCAAATCCATTCGGAAAAAGGCTGGATCCAGAAACAAATCCAGAGCGTCTCTTTTCCATGCCTTTCTCGCATACGGGAAGCTGCTAATGGCAGACAACATTTGAGCACAAGCTCGATGTCTCAGCATGTTCCCTTTGGCGTGATTTCGCAAATACGGGGTTACATTCGTCAGCAGCGACGAGAGAATCGGCACAACGCGCTCCTTCTCGTCAGAAGCGTAAGTCACGTCCAAAAAGGACGCCACTTTATCCGCCAGGAGACGCAACGAACAAAGACATTGTTCGGCAATGGCTCGTTCGCTGCCTTTCTTCAAACCAATCACAGGAACACGAGTGTCTTCGGGTTTATTCGGTTTATATTCTGGACAATCGACGATATCCACTTTTTCCGGCGGCGGCTCTTCTGTGGCATTCTTTGAGATGTCTGTCGCATAGTCAGACGAATTCGGAATCAATTGAAGATCCTGTTTAACGACTGTTCGTGGACGAAGCCAAGCGGTCTGTTCCAAACATAAGCCAGCTGATTGACCCAAAAGGTCGAGCACGCGCACTGAGAGATCTTGTAGCTCTCTTTGATCACGTTTTTCCAACGACGAAGGAACCTATGAAATTTTTCAAAAAATGCACTGAATCGCGCATGCATACTTTTAAATGAACTTGAACAACCATTAAAACTGCGTAAGCTGAATGGCTTATCTCAATACAAGCTCAACAATACTGTACGAGGGGGTTTAGATACAGAACTGAAAAAGCTGGAAGTTAAACAATACACGGTATTATCGAAAAATTTGGACCGATATTCGAATACCAATACTTAACAGTATTCCAAGCACATCAAAACGGCAAAATTCGTGGCTCGAATGAAATTAAACTTAATTTTTGTTCGAATGTATAGACATAGACCAGCGGATGCGATCCTACATGTTTTAACAGTGAGCAAACAAAGTTTACTGATTTCTTTTCAAACCGTGATATTTCTGGAAGAGTTTGAGCTTATTCGTCGAAAAAGAAAAAACTTGAAGCATACGCAATTTACTTCGAAATGCTTCAAATTACTGTATATTTTCCTATTTGAATCGGTAGGAAAATCACGGGCATTTGAAATAAAAAATCAAATTTATTCACGAATTTCTTCAGGCTCCACTAAATCGATGATTTGGAGGATATAAATGCATAAGAAAAAGTTCTATTACTCATGAAATACCGTTTTTACTCAAGTACCATGTGCCCACGAGTACGACGCTTACTTTAGATTTTCAGCTTTTAAAAATGAATAAAATGCACCCCGCATAAGACACACAACTTCGTTTTCGGTCATCAAAATTCGTCTTTAAAAAACTCTGCTGGATAAAAATCTAAATTCAAGCCCACTTAAAATCGAATTCAACGGTAATTTTTGTTTCATACGAATTGCAGTATTTTTGTACCCGACTATGACACGCACCTCATTTTTGGGCTCTACTTTACAATTGAAAAAAAAAGGTGCGCGTGGTACTCAAGTAAATACGGGCAATACCTTGTCTTCTGAAACTGAAGCACTAATTTATTAGACACGACGATTACCGTTGTCTTATACTGTACCTTGAAAACCATCATACAGCGAAAAAACGTGCATGCGCATACGATGATCAACTAAAATAAATACAAATGACTACTGTATAATAAGATTTAAAAAACTTTTGGAACTACCGTACGTAAAACTGAAACATGTGGTTCACAGGTAATAACTTATTCTAAATCAACAATAAAATAATTATAGTAGATTAAAAAATTAATCTAAAAAACCACGTTTTCAAAAAGCAAAAAATAACCTTAAACGTGGTGCGCATGGAGATTGTTGGGAAGAAGTAATATACAAATGAAATAGATGCGCACCACATTTAAGGTTATTTTTTGCTTTTTGAAAACGTGGTTTTTTAGATTAATTTTTTAATCTACTATAATTATTTTATTCTTTTTAAAAAATATTCTTAAAATTTATTTTTTCACAAAAGATTGCATTGTCATCAGTTTCTAGGCTATCCTGAAAGTTTCAGCTTGATAGCTAGTTGGGAAGTGAGTGAAATTTGAGTTTCAAAATTTGATCCGGACAAACAAACAGACAAGAAAGTGAGTTANCCCATGGAGGAGGATGCGACCATCCTCCATGGTTGATGAAGAAAGACTGACCTAGGTGGCGACCATGGGGTCTGATGAAGCTCGACCGTATTCATGGAAAGAGAATTAACGGAACGTATACTAAGTAGTATGTCGCTTTTTTGCACGTACGCGTATGCTACTAGTTGATTTTATTTATGTTTACTGATGACATATTATTCTAAATTTTTTGAAAACCTTGATGGCATGCATTTTGACTTTGTACACCAAGTCAGGTAATAACTTATTCTAAATCAACAATAAAAATGACTCACCCGTTGCACGAATGCATACAGAACGTTGAACACTTGCGCCACACATTCGTGCGTGACAAAAGCCAGCGTACTGTTGGACGATTGGGACAAAGCCGCGACGGCTAATGCCTCCTTCACTAAAGATGCGACTGCGGGAAACGACTCCACCAGTTGTTGTTGCGGACACCTTTCCACATATGCCACAAACAACTCTAGAACTGAGTTCTCAACAGCTTGACTGTTGACAGGACCCAAAGAATTGGACGAAAAATGCACGGCACGATTCCAATCGGAATGGATTCCAATCAGAGTGGAAGCGCTGTGCGAGCTGGGGATGGAGGAGACAATTTGCGTGACGAGATGGATGACTCGATCCGGAGGCAAAGATTTGATGGCCGTGATCAACGCGACCAATTTCTCTCGCTCTTCTCCCACTTTTGCAGCTTCCTGTCGAGATTTGAATCAAATTTCGGAAAGAAAATAAAAACGAAATTCATCAACAATAGGTCATTAGATTCGAGGATAGCAAAAGTAAAATGTGCCTTACTCAAATACATGATCAACTTGTGTCTCGTTCATTCTTGAGAAATTTCGAATTCCTTTTTTCAATGAGTTTCGTCGTTCTTGACATCAAATTATTCAAAAGCCGAGTTTTATAAACCTTTCTGAGTCGGAGAGCGTGACCGTCGATAAATTGTTCAATTGCAAAGCCAATTTCAAAGTAAATCCCCATTATGGGACCCCTCCAGCTCACTCGCAATTATTTTGCAACAAGAAGTACAGTGAATATTTCCTGTCTTCGGAATATGAATGCAGGATTAACATTCGTCTCAGTTTTTTCATTTCGTGAGGATCCGGTTTGTTTAATTTTTCGAGTGACTCTGGGGTATACGGAGCACAATGTCGAGACTTTTTTCAAGAGAAAGGGCTTTTTTTATAGGATTCAGAAACTCAAAAAAAAAGTGTTGGGAATTATTTTCAGAAATACCCGGTAAAAAGAGAAATGCGTCTCACATTTTTAGATTCACTAGGAATCGCCAATTTCATCCTCTTCTTACTGTCGTGCCAGGCAACAGCGGCAGCCACCAAAAAATTAGTTCCATGCGTAACAGCGATCGGTGATATGAACTCTAGCACATGGTGTTTCACGTCCCTCGGGTGACCCAAGACCCACGAATATTCATCTCTGCAACTAAACAGCGTTCGGATACGTTTCTTAGGATCAGAACATATCAACATTTTCATACCTTAAATCACAAGCCGAGCTCCACAAACTCGCCATTGCGACAACGATTCTTGGGAGAACACCAAGCAATGCTTTTCTCGCGGATTCCAAGGCATCTTTTGCTGCGCGAGATTCTCGACTCGACTCAGGAACCTGAAAAGAAAATTTTGAGAAAAATTTTACAGATGGTCCCCACGGTAAGGTCTTCATTAAAATGTCGCAAAAGAAAATTAAATTTAGTCTATTAACGTTCTTTACAAAAATGTTATCGTTTTATTTTCTTCGCCAACACCCGAGCTTGCTTCCCAGAACATTAGGCAGGTGTCACCTGATCACCCACACGAAAAATTAACTTGAGTGAGCCTCAATTACCTCAGTGTAAATTTACCCAAATAAAACTATGATCTAAGGAATCAAAAATTCCCCAACTGCCGTCGACCATAAGAACTATTACAGACTGGGGATATAATGGTGGACTATCTATAACGATCTTGTCTACTTAACGATTTTTTTTTTTTGGGTATCATGAGAATCTCTCCCCACGTTACACAGGTTCTCTACAACGATTTTTTCTGGTCCCTCGAATTTCGTCGAAGAGAGAGTCCACTCAAAAATAAAATTCTGGAACGTCGGGCGTTAAAAATAAAAGGGTCCATTTTTTAAATATCTTCGTGAACTTACCTTCAAAGGAACAGATGGAATGAACACGTTTATGAGATTGTTGATGATTTGTGTCGTGTGGCTGCTGGAAGGTTTACTGCCACCCCCACCAATTCTCGAAATGGATGACGTGGGATTCGTCAGACTACTAGCCGTTGCTTGAAAATGAGACCCAGTGATGCCACTCAAAACAGAGCACTCAGCGTTGTCAAGCAGACAAAAGTGGCACAATGATGACAGCGCCTCCAAGGATCTCACCACGTAATCCGGAGGAATTCTTCGTCCTCGGGACAACCTGAAACCATGGGATGCTCTATTATTCAGGTTACTTTTTCTTGCTAATTTTCAAATGCAAAGCTTTTTTGCAAACATCCTCTCGAAAAAATTTGTATATAAATTAAGAGCCGGTAAATATCCAGCAATCTAGTCAAGTATGGATGCGTTAGGGGGTGCATTATACTTGAAGAATTATTTAAAAAATGAACAATGACCATTTTTCCAGATCTGACAGATGCGTTTCCATCGAAGAAACGTTCGGATCTCGGCAGCTTGTGACACTGAAAGTGAAGGGCAGTTGCCATAAAATGTCAATTGATGCATAAACAAGTCGTCAAACTCAGGAAGGACATTTTAAAAATGTGTTTGCACACTGATTTAGGCTTTGTGTTGGTCTTTTAACCATGCAAAGGCTTGCAGGATTCTCACCAATTCTGGGACAAAAAAACACACACTGTATTTACTCAAATACCGCGCACACTTTTCTTTTTGCAAAATTTAGAGGAAAAATGTGGGTTACGCACAACAGGCGGGTATACATTTTTCGAGATAAACGTGTGCATCACATTTGATTCTTATTGGAAATTTCTGACCAATTTTAACAACAGAAACGTATTGTAATATAAATATTTTAAAATTAGTTGAAGTCCGGGTTCAATCCATATATAAATTCAAATTTGGGTGCTCTTACTTCTAATATTGCATTGTTACTGTCACTAAATATGGGGGGCACGTCTTACTCGGGGATACAATTTTTAAAAATTTTAGACAGAAAAACTCCGGTGCGTGTCTTACTTGATAGCGCGCGATAACTCACGTAAATACGGCATAAATTAATCGCATTTTTTAATTAAAGAAAATTCTAACCTCTCTTCTTCCTTTTCCTGCACGACATTCTGAATCGATTCCAAGTTGAAGCAAATCTGTCTCGCCAATAATAACGCCGTCTGGCTCAAGGTTCTGCCCAGAAAAGGCAGACTCGCCGTCACCGTCGCCAACCAGGCCCCGTGTAAATGTCTCAACTTCTCCTGTCGCAACACCGTCAACATCGAATGCAGGAAAATTGATTGCGCCGGGATCGGCTGTCCAATCATGTAGCGCAACGACGAAGTCGGCGCCACAAACGTGATTTTCGCCCACTTTTCCGTGTCCATGACTTTGGAGCTCGGATTCACAGTCTGCACCACACCCACTTCGTGCTCCAACATGAGCAAGGCATGCAACAAACGAAGCAAATGAATTTGCAGCGCCTCTGGAAATGAACGTCCAGTGCCGCCGGAACCACAGTCCACGTCGACGCCGCCCTCGTTGAACTCCAACAGCATTTCAGACGCCCGGATCTGCCATTTCGTGCCGCAGTCTTCTTCCTGCTCTTCTTCGGAATCCAAGCGTTTCTTCACCCGATCTACACTCGAGGCGAGTGAGCGAAGCACAATTTTCTGAACTTTACATCGCAGGAGCATGTCCACGATGAAGGACGCAAAACCTCGTCCGTTCGCGCGAACCAAATCCAAGGTTTCCAGGAATGTCACGGTCAAGAGGTCGACTGCTGCAAGTCGCACCTCCGAATTCCATATCACATCACATCCATCCTATAAATTAAGAAATCATCATAAATATAGCAACTTCAATAGTGCAAGATAAATTTCACGGCCGCTTGGTAAGCAATCAATATAGGACGATCTAAGAAAAGTTATTATCTTAACTCTTAAAAAAAAGTAAGAATGATACAATGTGATTTCATGGGATTCTGGTTGAAAGAACAATGCGACGGCAAAATTGCGCCTAATCCCTCGTCTTGTAAAAATGGAGAAAAACATGAGTTCACTCTCCGACGTCCTTCAAGGACAAGATAATAAGTAAAATTATCGTTCATCACAAATGACATGATCTATAATTTACAGTTTGACCAGACCAACTACTACTGTACCGTGCTTTGATGAACGGCAGAAAAATGATAAGAATTTAAATGGTGCAGCATTGCAACTTCATCGAAGAAGCAAAACTTTCTTCAGAGAAAATTTCGCGACTAAAAAAAAACCGTAGCACATTTCTTTTAGATTCTTAGCTCCATTTAAGAATGTATACCTTTCTTTTCAAATAAAAAAAGTACGCCGGAAAGAAGTTTCTTTCATTTGGAAAACAGCTGAGCATGAATAACTTGATTCATATGAGGAAGTACCGGTTGCCAGTTGCCCCGCCTACCTCTGGGGACTGATTGTCTCGGGTTCCATTTCTATCCAGTCCCCGGGACCTATTCTCCCGGGTCCTATTTCGTTTGGAACGAATCCTCCGGGAGCGTGACATAGACCAGGTTTACACGATACACCGAAAAAAACAGATTTCCAAAGGAAATTTCTACACTAACAAGGAGATTGTAATCAGCAATTGCAAGTGACAATCTATTCTGTCACTTTAAAAGTTAAGAGGCTTATTGCGATTTATTTCCACCTTCTCACAACCAGCAAAAAGAAAGCAAACAATTCTGGAGAAAAGAAGCGAGGATAGTAGAGTGATTCATTTTTACAAATGAATTTAGTTGTTTTAGCACTTCGATTTTCCATTTTCTGTGATCATGCTTCAAACTCAAAGTATCTGCATCTTCGGAAATGAACTGAATTAGTGAACGACATATTTTTTGCATTTGAATGGGTACACAGTGGGATCATCTGATTAAACAACATTTTGCAAGCAACTCTTGACACGACATCGATTTAAAGAAACGTCTACATAATTTTATAAAATTGAATAAACTCATATTTGCAAAGCATAACTAAAATTACGTCTTTCCGAAGAAAGCCGAGCTCTTCCAGCTCAGGTCTGTGGCCTACGCCACAAAACACGTTTCAACTGAATTAAAAGTACATAATTAGCTATTGATGGATTTAATATCTTAAAATATATCCAGATCGATAAACTCACGTTTCCAACTGCTAAACAGGACCGGATAAAGCTCAAGCAGCTGAACACGAGGATTTCAAACAACGTGATCCCACGTTGCACAGAGGACGCCTCCTGTCCGCTCAATTTTCCTGCAAACGCGAGTCCCCTCATGGAACGCTTGTGACGAGCCAACAACTTCTGCAGTTCATTAGCTCTAGGACTATGAGCGCTGCTCAAATTCGTGCTCACTAACCCACGCAACACGGAATTCGGATGCGTCATCACTGCGGCTTGCATCAACGTGAGAGCGTACTTGACCTTCACACAGGAGGCGAGACAAACAGTCATGCGTAGTGTGAAGACACGTTTGAATAATTCGTGATCACGAAAAAATCTCACCTGAGCCAGGTCAGGAACGCAGTCGTATACTAGAAGGAACGAGTGCAAGGGATCTTCAGCCACTGGCTCGTCATTCGGACGCAAGGAATGCAGCCGTTCGCCCAGCGATAAAACCGACTGGCTTGGATTTTCGGAAAACAAACTCGCAGGCGAAGGACTTCGCACGGATTCGATCATTGAAAAGCTTTGCGATCTTTGTCTTCTATGGCCAGGTTTGAAAACACTACTTTTCGCTTCCGTGTTTTCAGTTCCAGATTCAGCGTCCACCACCTTGCGAATCAACTGCGAAGAAGACAACGCGAAATGAACAATTACGGTCAAAAATGTTCATCATTGCTGATTGAAAGAAAATTGAAAACTGAAAAAAGGATCAAGTTTCCTTGAGGGTAGACACCCTTTTGGAAAATATTTGAAGAAAAACTGAGGACTCCATGATTTTAGGTGACATTAGATCAGCTTCGTTTCCATAATTTCATCAGCTAGTGAACATAACGAGCATAGAACATTAATTTTGCGCGACTCCCCGGAGAAAAAAAAGAGCCCGTATTTTCACCCGACTATATGAAAATGAATCAAAACTGAGCATAAAAATAAAGTCAAGTTGTCCGGTCAGCGCAGTATTTCAAGTCGTATTTGAAACGCTTCCAAAACCGTATGAAAAAATCAGTTATGGAGATTTAGAAGAATTTCGTGAAGAATTTAAAAATATGTGTTTATTACGATATAACGTAAAAACTGCAATTGAAAAACAGAACAACCCGTGCATGCTACTACAGTAACGTTAATGAGCACATAATGAAGATAATGAGTTGGTATGACGCTAGATGAAATTAAGATACTTCAACCGCGAGCAACATCTGTCAGAACCTGAAAAATTCGTCATTGTGAAATAAAGTGAGGAAATGTAGAGATTAAATTCTAAATTTTTTTAGTACACAATACAATAAAAAAGTCAATTAACCGAAATAAAAATTCACCTCGTCTACGATCGTGGCAATAATCAGACTCGCATCGTCGTCCTCATCAACATTTCCGCTACTGAATTTGTCCAGATCAGGCATCGAACAAGACTTCTTCAACATATCCCTTCTCTTGGCTTCGCTTTCGTCTTCGTCACTATCCACTTCTACACCCAACTCCTCTTCCACCTCATCAACTTCCTTCAAATCCGCCATCTCCGTCATTTCCACATCCATATCCGTCCTCGACGTTTTTTCCTTCATCCGCAATTCGTCGAAATACTTTTGCACGCCGATCCTCGCGCAGCCGGGGTCCAAAAGTATGAGAAAAATAGGATCAAAAAGCCTCGCCACGTCACCCCGGTGCAACGAATGCACGAGCCATCCTTCGGCACACGACTTTAGCGCAGCTGGTGTATCACTCGATAAATTCTCCAACATCAACAGAACACAACGATCTAAATTCCTCAACGACGCCGACGGGGTTCGTTTCTGCAGCTCTCGGGTATAGTGCCAAAACACGGCGAATCTTTGCGCAGCAACAGCTCGTTCCCTGGCATCCGAATCAGCCAATGTTTCGCACAAACAATTTTCCAAAAGTCTCGCGGCTCGTAAAGGAAGTGTAGCGTGCAATTTGTGCAACAGAGCGACGCTGTCCACGGTTTCCGGAGATCCAGCACAGTCAACGTGTCGCCAAAGAACATGCGCGAGTAACTCAGTGACTCTGGTGTCGACTAGAAGCGTTTTTAGATCGTTTTCCAACAGCAACGGCTTGATAACAACGGAAACTGGGGTCATTTCTTCCATGACCGGAGTCGGAGGCTTGCATATCGACATGCTGGTCTTGTTCGACTCCATGCTTGTCAGAAGAAGGGAAGTGAGTTCAGTGAGTGTTCGAATGGCTGCCGCATGCATCGGGAAATCCGCAGTTTGTAGGTGAACAGCAGCACACGCGAGAACACGGACCCAATCGGCGAGATCCTGTGTTTCTTCATTTTCGCTGCACTTCTTCCCCAAATTTTGGTCTACAAAATATTCGGGGAAAAAAATCGCGAAGTTAACGAAAGGTTTGATCAGAACCTGAAGTTCTACAGATAGACCTCAAGCTCGTAATTTTTTTTTTTTAATTTGACTCAAGTCAACTTTTACTTCTTTTTTTCAAGGATAGTGCAAGCAACAATCATCAGCAAGCGCAACATTAACTGACCGAGTTTCTGATTCGGAAGAGACGTCCCTTGTCCAGGAGATCCCCCACGTGATTCGAGCGTGAAATACGTCGGGAACGAGGAAAACTGAACCAGGAGACGACAACACACGTGGAAACTCGGACCCCAAAGTGACAATTCCGAAAGTTTAATCGACGGCTTTGTCGTCGACAGCACGTCAACCGCGAATTTCCTCGTGCTCCCTATTCGCTTCACAGCGCAACCACGGGATTCAGAACTTCTCCGCGAGATGTCATTCAAGGAAGAATCTGTTTCCAGTTCTAAGGCACTTCGAAGTAGTCCTTCCAATCTTGAAAAAAAAAAATAAAAAAAAAAAAATATATATATATATATATATATGGTCAAACCTCTATAAGGCGCCACCATTTGTTTGTGAGGTTTGTGGCGGTGTAACGGGGTTTACTTAGGGTTGATGGTTGGTAGTTTAAAAAAAAAAAGCTTAAAAATTACGAAAATTAGGAATAATAGAAATAAAATCCTCATTCTTCTAGACTGAGAACAATCAAAATAACCCTGAGATGCGTTTATTATGTAGCTCATGTTCCCAAAGAAGTAAATTATGTTTTTTTTTAATGGAAACCCCTCACAGAAACTTTAATCTTGTTGGCGAGTTATCAAAGACAAAAGTAATTGGCAGGAACATATTTGAGTTGTCTTCAATTTTCCGTATTCCGTTTTTTCTCCAAACACAATTTTGATACCATGTCACAGATGGAAAAAAATCAGCCACCATCTAATGTTCAAATCAACGATTACCCGTTCCACCAATGTGTAAATTGACAGTGATCTATTGTAAGATTTACGGGCAAAACATCTTTGGAACCAAGGGTTCCGCAAAATTGACGAAGACCCTCTCATAAATTCTCCGTTAATCATAAATAATTATGCGGGGTTTTGAAGCTTTAGAATAGACAAATTGGCGTTCTAGCACGTGTTAAGCGTCAAAACGACTCTGTGAGTGTTATTCATTCTGTCAACAACAACAAAATCTCTCAGACATGCGAGAAAAAAACAGTGGGTGTATTTGTAGTAAACGTTTTTTTTTTAATAAATTTTTGAAACAATTTTCGGGCACACGGGGGCACCGATCTTTTTTTTCAATTGCCTGCGGAAATTGGAATGGAAGTTCCATTAAAATCACCCGTTATCCAAATAATCACCTGTTCAAAGCTCCATATCCTGAATCAGCCTGGAACACTTTCCACAGCCGCTCGATTTCCGTCACACCATCAAATATTCTGACCCCCATGAATGCCACAAAAAAATCCAGGAAGTGCCCGACAGCAGCATCTAAGCCGTCGCGACGATTGCCACCTTTAGAAGACGCTTTCCTCGTTCCAGACAATGGTTGAATTTGAGTTAAAATCGATTCACACAGCCTCAAGGAATGCACAGTTTCGTTGTGGTTCAAGTGGTTATGATTTAAAGCGAGGGATTTCAATATCGACTCCAACATCAAGCGAAGATGATCCTGGGCAGACACGGTTGTTCCCGTATCCGTATCAGCGAACCCATTGTTGGCAGTCGAAGAAAACCCGGCTTGGAAGCCCACAACCTCAAGAAGGAATGAAACCAGTCTAGGGATAAATAGAAAACAAAAACATACGCACGATATGAAAATGCATAAATATTCCAAACTTTCATTGTTTTTTATTGCATCCCTGTCCAATTATTTTACCACTAAAATTAGAAGTTAAAAAAATTACTGTACCGCAAAATGAAGAATTTATAATACTGTACATATAAATCACAGTAACAATAACGATTTCCCTACTTCCGTCAATCGCATGAAAAATGGTGTTAACGCGATTACATGTCCACTGACAGTTAAAATCGTATTAAAATTGCAACGCCGAGTCATTTCAGGTTAAATTTTTCCCCGGTCATGGTTAAACGAATTTTGCTCTTCACTAGTAATAAAAAGCAAACCTACTATTTTTTTCCAACCCCAAGACGAGTTATCGAAAGGAGGTCGTTTTTTATATCGATTGTTCCGTGTGAGAAAACTCGAGCAAAATTGTCTTCTTTTCTATTTTGACTTTCAGTCATTTAAAATGTATAACAAGATCATTTGATGTGGAATTTTCAATCCACATTTTCCAGTCCATCGCTGAATTGCTGCGTGAACATCGCCGAAGCAGCAAAAAACTGGGGATTTGTTTCATAATTTATAAAAGAACAACGTAAAATTTTGATTTGTCAAAAATTTTCTTCTTTTTCTCCTACCTAGAGCAAGTCCACATTTTTATTTTATTAATACCAGTTTCGAAAAGCTTTCCCAGGATTTCATACAAAGAAATACCGAATTTTCCGACACTTGAAAACGCCGCGTGTTCGAATGCGTCTTAAAACTTCCCACGACATTCACACGTTGTCAATTGCCCGAATTCAAATTACCGGGATATTCCACAAATTAGGATTTGACTTGAAAAGATGATTTCTAGAGGGCAGTATTTTTTCCATAATTGAAATTGTACGAGGGTATAACGAAGCGAAGTTCTTCGACTCACCGACTAATTTCCGGAACCCTCACAGTCTTACTCCCCACTTCTTGCACAACTTCCTCGACGATGGTAGAGCAACAACTCGCCGTCCTCACCAACTTCCGATCATCCTGTTCGTCTCGATCCTCCTTCCGACTTTCAATAGCAGAGCAACACACGAGCTGACACCGATTCCACACATAATCCGCTTCCAACACGCCAAACACCAAGTTAACAACTTTCATCGACTCGGACGAAATGCCGGTCCATGGTTCCTGGTCAGAGTTTCTCTGCTCACAGCTCGAATTCCCATCGCGGGAATAATTGTGGTACAATGACCGGAGAATGTCGATGAAAAGGTCATCGACGACGAATGTCCCAATCTCCAAGCGTTCCAGCAGGGCTGCAACTATTCGATACGGCTCCAAGGAAGTGCCTTTTTTGCTCAGCCATCGAACCAGAGCGGCGACAATCACGCTTTTCCCGCAGACTTGGAAATACGGAGAAACCCCGGCAGGAAGCAGAGACGGGACCGACGACGAAGACTGGACTTCTGAACCCAGAAGCCATGAAAGTAACCGTCTACTCCAGAAAATACCGAATTTCCCCGAGGAGGAAAAGAAAGAAGAAATCTTGTCAAGTACTGTTGACTTCGGCAACTGTCAACAATCACGAAGAACTCTGCGAACAATTCCATGAATTTTATAGTCGACGTTAGCACAGTTTTACAGGGTGAACAAAATTATATACCGTGCCATGTCCTAAACAGTTCGAGCCATCATTCAAAGCGGATGAAAATCCCGTCCACTCCAGAAAATACTCTAATCCGTAAGAGAGAAAAATTCTGCCAGCTCGATGAGAATTAGGGCCATTTAAAAGTGAAATAAAAACAAGCGTATTGAAATTATTTGGGATTTGACATGCTTTAGTGTCCAACTGTGAGGCGAAAAAGTTTTTCAAAATTACACAGTATGACCTTGATAACTGAAACATCCTCTGGTCGAATTTTTTTTTTATTCCCTGCCTGAATTTCCCAAAGGACAATGCACAGATGAACCCCGATAACTTGAACCTCCCAGGGCCGAATAGTTCCTGTGTGAATTTTCATATAAGCAACGCATTAAAAATCGCGATAACTCAATTTCCAGTGAATTTTTTTCTTTTCCCCATCAAAAATACTTTCTTCCCTAACTGGAAACCTGCCTAAATCGAATTTCTTCTCGTCCTTCGAAATTCGAAGAGATTCGAATGTGTACCAGACCTCCATAATTCTGAGATTTCTCCTCCCCTAAAACCTTTATAACTCGAATTTCTGGAGGACTCGGTACTACAGTATTATTCTGATAGAAAAACAAAGAGACTGTCACTTGATGCTTTTCAAAAGGAAGCGAGTGAATAATTGGACAAATTAACCCTCGCCTCCGAATTCAAAATCTTGTCAACACATTAATCCAGCAGTTTAAGACAAAAAGATCGCCAATTTTCATTTAATTTTACTGGCAATATTTTCACAGCAAGAATGCTATTTTCCCTAACTCGAATTTGTTCGCAGGTCCCTTGTTATTTGATCGTAATTTACAATGCAGAAAATTTAACCTTCCTTTCCAGCTTTTGAACAAATATCAGTTGTAAACGAAGCTCTGAAAATTATATACCCTTCCCCTCGACTATAATTTGTGTTATTTACAAAGAATCGCCAATTTTCCATATTTTATAAAGTTTGATTTCTCAAATGA